CATGGCAGCCCATAACTCCAGTTCCATGGCATTCGTTGACCTCTCCTGGCCTTTGAGGGCACTGCACACATGTGGTGCACTTACATACATGCTGGCAAGACATTCATACACATAAAATAAAAATAAATAAAAAACTAAAACAAAACAAAAAAACTTTATTCCATCCATCAAGGGCAGGGTTGCCAGCTTTAGCAAATAAAAATACAGATGCCCCATTAAGTTTCAATTTAGATAAACCACATTTTTTTCTTTCATGTAAGTATAGTTTATGCAATATTTTAGTTTATACAACATTTTGTAATTACACACACACAAAAAAAAACTGCTGTTGGGCTTGGAACGTAGTAGTGGCAGAATGCTTGCTTAAAAGACAATAGATCAGCCGGGTGTGGTGGCACATGCCTTTAATCCCAGCACTCAGGGGTCAGAGGCAGGCCGATCTCTGTGAGTTCAAGGCCTGGTCTACATAGTGAGTTCCAGGACAGCTGGGGCTACAGGGAGACCCTGTCTCAAAAAGACCGAAGGAAAAAAAAAAGACAAGAGACCAAGGCAGTTTGATGTCAGCACCACCACGAAAAATTAGTCATTGTTTATCTAGTGTTTAAATTTAACTGGACACCTCGTATTTTACCTAGCAGATATAAATGAAAAGAAATTCTTAGTCTTTGACGTCCCTCACCTTTACTGACCACCCTAATTCTCAGAGAGGGTGGGAATCTCAGGCACTAGGTAACATTTGATAACAGTATGTCATTTTTACCTTAGTCTACTTAGATAACTGCTATGTATGAGAAGCACAGTCTTCCATTTACAGTAGCAACACAAAGTTTCTTCTGAAATAAGTGTGTTCAAGGGTTTTTTTAGTGATTCAATCTAAAGAAAAATGTTACATAAGTAATGTTACAGGCTAAATAAGGATATGACAAAAATCAAAATAAAACAGGAAAATGGAGCTCAAGACACCAAGGCTTGGGCTTGTCGATAAAGGTTCTTCTTCCTTGTTCCCTCTGGACTCCAGGGTCCTTGGTCCCCTGGCTCTGTGAGCACACAGGCTCCAGACCTGAAGGCCTGCAGGAAGTGCCAGAGCTTCCATAGTGTGCTCTGCAATTGTCGGGGCAAGATTCCAGCCCACTCTCCACCACCAAGGTCCCCAGAGCCCCTTTATAGAAAACAGCCTCCCTGGCCGGCTTGACTTCAGAGAGGCTGTTTCTGAGGAGGCAGCCGCCAGGGACTCCTCACAGTGTTTCCAAGTCAAGTCCAAACCTTTTCAGCTTTGCCAGGAAACCACCCCACCCCCTTTCTACTCCCCTGCCTCCTAAAGTCAGGGCTGCAGGCCTCCAGATGCTGCCCCAACCCAGCAGGCATTCTGGCCCAGATAGAGCATGTCCCCACCCCTGCCTGGCACCTTCCCCTCATCTTTCCCCACCCCTTCCCAGCCCGGGTCTCAGACAAGAGAGCTGGGAGCTATGGAATTAGAGGCAGGAAGTTGGGAGTGGCAGAGAAGGAGCTGATTCTTCATTTACACCCAGTCATTCCTCAGACCATGATGGGGTGGTATGGAGATACTCTAGCAAGGCAGTTAGCCTGGCCTTCTCAGAATCCCCCTCACCACCCCTTTTCATCATCATCAACAGTCACGAGCTATTTTTGAGTCTCTCCACACACTAGTCACTTTCATAGTACATTCCCTGAATCTCGTTTCACCTTGACAGAAATGAATGCTCCGAAGTACGAATTACCATTATCTTTTTTTTTTCCTCCTAAGAGTTTAAGGCTGATCTGTGTTAGTTATTTGACCTAAGTCACCTAGTTATAAGAGACAGAGCTCAGGGTTTGAACCTAGGCAGGGTGACTGTAGACACCCACAGATAACCAATACCTTCCACTATAGGGAGGCAGCCCTGAGAGGTCCAAGAAGCAAGGTGGGAAAATTGAGAGGTAGAGGGTAACAAAGGCTGCTGGGCTCTGTGTCAGTGCTCTTCCAATACCACTGTGGTAGGGGACAGCCCCTTGTCCAGGCCTTTCAGCTTGGCCAGGCTGGAATGACCCCTCGACCCTCCAGGTGCCTGAGGTTCCAGCTGGAGGGAAGCCAGAAGACATCAGGGTAAGGCCTGGGGACCATCTCGAGCTGTGCACCCTTCTTGATCCTCAGCAAGATGCATCTCCCCAAGGCAGAGGCAGACTCGACCCAGACATCAAAGGGCTTGTGCGGTTGGTGCTTTGAAGGGAGCCTTGTAGGGTAATAGGAAACATGAGGATGACACTGTGACCCAGCCCAAAGCACAAGGCTTGGAAAAATGAAAAGAAGGAACTTTTGGCAGCCCTCTGTGTGGGCTTTGGCTGAACTCAGCCCCTCGCAGCTGCTGGCAGCCCCATCCTCTCCCCCTAGGCCTTTTGCAGCCACCCTTGATAATGTGGGTCCTTGCATAACCCCGGGGACATGGGCTTCTCCAGGCAGCAAAGAAAGCTGTCCACTGGTCTCCTCTCTTTCAGGCTCCAGAAAGCTTTAAAATACTGGAACTTAGGACTTGGAAAGGGCTCTCGGGGACTCAGAATGAACTCGCTTTAGCCTTTCTCAGATTTTGAGATTTTATTGCTCATAATCCAATGACTTACACTCCCCACCAAAGGTATCACCAGCAGTTAAGTAGACTGTGGAGATGACAGTCTGGTGCTATCTACTAAATGCAATACACGTGCCTTCAGGTCAGCAATACCAGTTCTAAAAAGTTATCTGGCACATGTGCCAGACCATAGATAGCCTCAAAGATGAATGCACCAGCAAATGTCCATTGTAAGACCATTTGTGGAAACAAAAGACTAGAAACAGCATCGCTGGACTTGCACCTTGCCCATGCTAGGTAAGTGCTCTACCACTGAGCTCCACCCCTCCTTTTTATAGGTGGTCGCATATTATAAACACCATTTTATTCAATGTATGCTTTACAGATTATATCTTACCACACATGCAAATCAGTGTCACTAATTTTTCCCACACACATTCAGTTGTGCTATTTACCTTTTCCCTTCCTCAATGGGTATGCAATATGAATCTGTTAAAACCGAAAGCCCATAAAAGCTTTTTATAAAAACTTCATTCTCTGCTCTGTCAAGGATAAAGTCCAGAGGTCTCGGTCTGACTTTATGGCCTTGGGAGTGCCACCCTGCCTCCTCTTATCTCCCTGCTCTTCCTGAACCTCAATCTAGTACCTCTGTCATGTGGCATGGATGGAGCGAGATGCATTTATTCTATCCAGGCTCCACAGCCCTCTGGGTTTGGGACTTTAAACATCTTAAGATGTTCCCACAGCTACCATGGAAACCCCTTCTTTGCCAACATGTGAACTTCCCTGCCCCAGGTTGGAAGAGGCATCCCAAGGACTTGCCTAGGCCAAATTCCTCCCACCCCCTTCCAGCTTCATGGACTGGGACTGCAAGAGTCCAGGGCAGTGAGAATGTCCTAGGCACAGTGCGTGGAGCCAGAAACCCATGGGGACCTTACCACAACCCACAGCACCTGGAACACTACTGAGAACAGGTACTTATGTATGGAGACACCACAAGTGACCAGGCTGACTCCAGAGACAGATGGATGCTAGTCCTCCCACCCCAGATCTCACCTCACACCAGGGCTTGGATCTGCTCTGAAAGTTCCATGAGGCTTTGTGAAAGGGTTAGGGAAAGGCACCTGATATAGGTCTGGCAAACCGAGCAAGGCAGGCAAAGAAAATGCTAGATTTGTGCTCTGACAGAAAACCAAAACCTTTTCCTTCAAAGGAAAGGTGGAATACGGGGCTAGAGAGATGGCTCGGCACTGGCTGCTCTTGCAGAGGACCGAGGTTCAATTACCAGCACCATCATTTTTTAACTCCAGTGCCAGGGGATCCAACTCCCTCTTTTGACCACCATGGACATTGCATGACACAGGTGCACTTATGTACACGCAGGCAATACACTCACACATAAAATAAAAATAACAAATAAAATATTTTAAAAATAATTTAAAAAGAAAAGGTAGAATCCTAATAACTTGTGCCAGGTCACCCAGAAACTCAGAAGAGTCAAGGCTAGAGCAGGGATTTGACCCTGTTCTCGGAGACTTTTTCACAGGGTGGTGAGGAAATGAGCATTTGGGGGTCATGAATTTACTGTGTGACCTTGAACAAATCTACTGAAGTGATTAAGAACAGAGCGTATCAGCTCACTCCCGATGAGTTGAAGTCTAAAATGTCCCTTCTGATTATGATGCCAAATGGTACTTTATTCCAACAACATAATTAAGAATAAAATCTGATTTTACCAATCTAGAGCTTCATGATTATGATCAGGCTGCTAGACCAACATCCTTAAGTCCCACTCATATGACCTCTCTACCCTCCCATCCTTATACCTGCCTTCCCAGTATCCCATCCGTGTGTCCATATTTTCACTTAACCAGCCATCATCTTCCCACACATTCACTTTCCTATTCACTCACTCGTCTATCCATCTATTCCCATTCCTACAAGCATCCACCCACCCACTTGTTCAGCAAATATTTCTCAGGTTCTTACCATATGCCAAAGCCTAGGATACTCTAGGGAACACACTACCTTCTTAGAGATTTTAATCACAAGGGGCACAGAATCAATCAAAGTTCCCCACAACTGAGGGTAGGTATAGTCAGAAACTCTGGCATGAAGAGCCCATTGGCGAGGGCTGTTGAGGAGGTTGCCTGCATCTATGAGGAGAGCAGGGCAGGTACGGCAGCAGACATGCCAGAGCGGGCAGTCATAGATAAGACGCCTGGAAGACGTTTAGGAGGTTTTGCCTCCTGATTCTATCACAGTTTTCCTGGGCCTGGCCTCTGTGGTTTGGGGATTTTGCTGAGCACATCACACTGACCTCTGTGGCTCCGCCCTACAGAAATAACTGGTAAGGGTGGGGCTGTCCTTCTCCAATCTCATTTTCTAGCCCCCAGTCCCCTCAGCCTGCCAAGGTCAAGGGCAGCCTCTACTCACCTCTGTGGCCCTGGAGTCCTGGTCAGCAGCCATCACAGATGTCAGAGACCTTGATGGTGACGTGTGCTTGAAGACCTTGAGCCTGTACACTGGCCCATGCCTGGCTGTCCCTCTCTGGGGTGGCACAGTTGCTGGGCTTCTCTTAGCTCCTCCTTTCACAAGGTCTGGTTTATGATGCCAAAGAGACCTTTGCCCAGTATAGGGCCTACCACAGCAACTCTGAGGCCACCCTGGCAGAGTCTCATGAGCACTCAGACCTGGGGACCTGGGCTACACTGACTTGCTGGATCCTCCTTTGAGAATGAATTTGGAGCCAAGAGCTCATCTGGCTGGTCTGTCCCCACACTGGTAGCAGAATTTCCCAGGCATATTTCTGCTTCCTACATCAGCTCAAACAGTGTCCACTGTCCAGAATGTTCCCCTTTCCTCTCATTCTTTTCCCGGCCTGCTCACATCCCAGCTCCTTGCCCAAACTTTCTTGTGCCCCAGCCCCTCCCCAGTCGAGGCAGCACACCCTCCAGGAAGAGCTTGGATTTGGGAAGAATAGAGCCAAGTCTCAGTGCTGACTATGAGTCTTGGTTTCTGTAATTGCAAAATGGCAGAAGAGTAAGTAATCTTAGCACTGGCTTGTTGGATATTGAGGTGATAAGTGCGGGAATGTGTAGAAAGTGCCTGAGTCACTGGAGCCATGGTCAGTGAATCAGTGTCAAGAGTCCTCTCAACTGAGCCTTCAGCATCTGAACTGTGAAAATCCAGAGGGCAACACATCCTACCTTAGATCACTGCTTTTCCTGCTCAGCTCCCAGTTAGAGCCCTGGCCTAGGCAGAGGGAGCTGTGGCTATTTGATCTGGCTCTGCCCATCAGTCCTTGTGTGACCTTGAGCAAGCCCCTTCCTTTGCCACCTCCTGTGATTGGATAAGGTATTGGGTCCTTGAAAACAGAAGACTGGGCTCCCATCTTTGCCACAGCCCTGGTGCCAGCCCTGGTGCCAGGTACACAGAAGGCAGGTCCTTGAAGTTGGTTTGAGAGGGCAGAGGGGGGCAGGGAAGAGACACGGGGAAGGGAAAGGAAGAAAAGAGAAAGGATTCAGGCGCTTAGAGGCGGGTGGCTGCTGCCCCTCCAGTTAAGAAGTTTGGGGCTGGGAAGAAACTGTCTACACAAGAAGCTAAGAAGGTAGTTTACAGCCTAGATTTACTGTGTCTCCAGCCACCTGAATGTGGACAAGCCAGGTCTGTTGAGTTGTGTACCAAGGGCTGGGTGAAGCGTGGAAGGTGTGGGGGTTGTGGCAAGCACTCAGTTTGGGCAGGAAGGAGGCAAACGAGGGGACAGGGTGGATCTGAATGGAACTAGTGCGTGCATGGTGTGTGTGTGTGTGTGTGTGTGTGTGTGTGTGTGTGTGTGTGTAGGGTGGGGCTCCCCTATTCCATACCTATGTGACCTTAGGCAAGTGACTTCACCCCCTTTGTGTGATGGAACTAACAATGGGAGGAGTAAACCAAGCCTGGGAAGGGCCTAGCACTCAGTAAATGCTCAATAAATCAAGGAATGTGCTATTCACAGCGCCATTCTTATTGTGCATCTGAATGTAGTGACATGTGAGCATGAGGCAATGAAAGTGCAGGCTTCCACGTGTGTGTGTGTGTGTGTGTGTGTGTGTGTGTGTGTGTGCTGGGTAAAGAAGCTGCTGGGAATGGCTGACCATTGGATTTGTGTGCAGTTAAAGAAGAGTCTGTGTAGGCAAATGTCATGAGAGGTACTGGTTCTGTGCTGCTCAAAAGATTCTTGGGTTCCAAGCAGTCTCCCATCAGCACCCAGTCCAAGTCCCTCCTCCAACCTCCTCTGAGTGGCACGGCTCACGTTTTGTCACTCATCCCTCTCCCCAAAGAGAAGCAGCCGGGTTCTTCTTCCCTAGTCATTCACAGCTGGGCTGGGCTGGCTTGCTCTCACCCTGGGTAGGTCTTCCTGAGTCTGTGGTAGAAAGCTGACCTGCCCCTGCACAAGCCCATGCCTGGGGCAAATGTTCATGACGTGAACATCCTGGCCTTGTGCCCACTACAGTCCCCAAGTACTTGCAGAGTCCTTGCAGGGCAGGCCAGATTGTGAAAGAAGCCCTGTCATTCACAGATTACATGAATTGAAGAGATTTGTGACACCAGCTCCCTCCCCCCAGTCTTCATAGGGATGAGTGTGGACCAAAAAGGGCTCACCCACAGTATCTTCAGACCCCAAGACTTCTTTACCCTGTAGTGTCCCTAAAGAACCCTAGGGAGGTATGTGTTTCTGGGACTTCAGGCAGGTCTTTGCCTTCTCAGTCAGCAGACATTCTCCTCCAGAGGTGGAGTCGGGGCATGGTGGGCATCCAGCTAGGACGCAGCAGAGCTGGGAATGGAATGAGATCAGCTGGTGTGGATGACTTACTCTTTGGCTTGGCAGTTTTGCTTCAAGGAATTTACGTTAAGGAAGTAATGCAGGCATGTTCAAAGGCACAGGTGCAGAGTCAGTGCCATCTTGTCCATATTAGTGCAGTTTTGAAAGCCATCTAAAATCCCTCTAGCACAATGCACACATGGAAAAGCCCAACAGATCAGTGTGGTGATTTTACATCACAGAAGATCACAGCATCTTACATCACAGACGATCACAGTGTGCTGTGGAGCAGACAGGAAGTTTATAAGGCTAGGCAGAAAGGATGAGTCCAATTTTTATGCATTCCTAAATATTTATACATATAGACCCAGAATATAAGAATTTATACTGATATGTTGGCAGAGAATCATTCTACACAATAATTTTGTTGTATTTTGGTGGGGTTTTGTTTTGTTTTGTTTTTTTGATCTTTTTGAGACAGGTTCTCCTTGTAGCCCCAGCTGGCCTGGAACTCGCTATGTAGACCAGGCTGGCCTTGAACTCATAGAGATCCACCTGCCTCTGCCTCTGCCTCTGCCTCCTGAGTGCTGGGACTAAAGGCGTGCACCACCATACTGGCTGATGTTTTGTTTTGTTTTTTTTTCTTTAAACAGGGTCTCATGTAGCTCAGTTGGCCTTGAACTTACTAGGTAGGCAAGGATGACCTCCTTGGCTCTTAAGTACTGGAACCACAAGTGTGGGCCACCATGCCTGGTTTATGCAGTGCAGCTCAAATTCAGGTCAGGGCTCTGTACATACTAAGCAAGTATTATAGCAACTAAGCCACATCCCTAGTCCTGAATTTCTTTTTTAGTTTGGTTGTGTTTGGGTACTGAGAATTGAACTTAGGACTTCAAAAATGCTAGGCCAGCTTTACCACTGAGCTACATCCTCAGTCATATGTTGTGACTCTCAAGGTGATGCTCAGTTCTCATTGGTCGTCATATGTGTGTATGCCTGTGCCTATGTATATGTGTATATGTGGGTGTGTTGTGGGTATACATGTATGTGCATGTGTGTACATATGTGTATGCATATGTGTCTGTGTGTATACATATGCAAGCATATGTGCATGTATATGTGAGTATGCATGTGTATGTGTGTGTACATGTATGTTTTCTTCTAGTTATTGTATGTTTAATACTAGAAGCATAGGAAAGTCCAGAGACGAACTGTGCAACTATGTGCTCAAACCATGGTATCATGGGGCCACACACTGGGCCTCCTCTGGTACCTCCTTGTGGAACCATCTCTGAACAGCCCAGAATCTGCCTTTAAACCCATACTCCAAATCACAAATCTGGGGGCCTCAGCTGACTCTCCCAACCCCGAGAGGGCTCAGGCCCTGGCCTTAGTTCCTCCAGTGGCTCTGGTCAGAATAACTCAAAAATGTTGGGCACTGGACAGTCTCTACTTTGGTGCTGAGAGCCTTTTTCTAGGCAGCCATTTGGCTTGACCAGCAGGACAGGGTGAAGACTCCCCCAGCCACCCACCCCCAGCCCCAGAGTGATACAACTGACCAAAGTCAGCTGCAGAACCAAAGCCACCTGAGGCCAGTTTTGGAGGCGGTAGAGAAGGCCAACATCTGGGCAGCTACCCTCTGGCTTACGGCTGCCCTGCCCTGCCCCCACTCCAGTTCCCCAAAGGCCAGGAACATCTGGCTGCTGGCCCTGCTCCAGGAGGGGTGAGCAAGGGGCCTCCTTCCGCCGGGCCCAGAGACTGCGTGGTGCAAGGTACATCAATCAAGGCTGCAAGGCTGGCTGGTGCTGGGAGAGAAGCTGACTCCTTTCCCACCCCCTCCCCAGACATTCCTGTGTAATGGACTTGCCTTTCCTGTTCATTTATTATCAGCCCACAGAGCTCCACCAAGCCAAGTCTGCAGACTCATGCTCTGTTGGAGGACCTGGAAGAGCATCTCTAATGCTCACTTCATGTCCCTACCATGCTTTCCTACCCTACCCACAGATTTGCCTGAGGGGCAGCTCAGCTGAGCACTTCATATAGGCATCTGACATGTCCATGCTCATGAACTGAACATCCTCTCATTGCCCTGTGTGTCAGCAGAAGGGGAAACTCAGTGCGTAGACACTGGGTCATTAGTTTGGGAAGTACTGTCATTTTAACTGCATTAATGTGTCTTCCAGTCCACGAACAGATGGTGTTTTTCCACCTATTTAGGTAGATAATTTCTTTCCAAGACTTTATATTTTTCTAAGTTTTGTCTTTCTTTTGTTAAATTGATTTATATATATATTTTTTTATTCCGTGGTGACTGCAATTTTTTTTCTTAATCTTAGATTGTTCTTTGTGACTATATATATATATATCACAATTGGTATTTTGTATATTGATCTTGTATCCTATGATATTGCTTTCTTTTCAAGATTTATTTATTTGGGTGTGAAGGAGGAACATGTGTGTGCATGCCATGGCATGCATGCAGAGGTCAGAGGACAATTTATTGGGAGTTAGTTCTCTCCTTCCTTGTTTTTTTTATAATTTTTTATTGAGCTTTTGTTTATTTCATACATAAAATCATCTTTATACTCCTTTCCCCCTTCCCCTTTGGCACCCTCCCATAGCCACCCCCCCCATATTCTGTCATTTTTATTAAGGCATATTATGTAAAGTGACATACATAGCTCAGTGTCCCTCAGTGTAAGTTCATCCACTGGGGTTTAGTCAGCCTATCTAGAGTTTCTCTCTTCAAGAAGATCAGCTCTTCCTCACCCAGCAGTAATCA